CGATCTTTGTAACTTTGAGGCAGTACTTTCGAGACTCAATTTTCTACTTCTCGATCCTTCAGAGGTAGCTAGCACTGCTGCACTACTGTTTCGGAAGTGTAGTTTTGCTCTCCATCATATTTAGTTGATGGTATTTTATACTAGGCTCTCGTTTTCCAACATCCCTTCACAATTTTTATAGTACGCATGAAACAGGAAAATCACGAAAAGTCAACCACCACTCCTAGAAAGGCCAGAAAGTAAATACGACCCCCTCCCAACAATGAGCAAGTACGACCCCCCCCTTTTTACAACGTCCGTGAAGCGAGAAAAATCAACTATCAAAATAAATTTTTCTCAGCCCAAATACGACCCCCCCTGTTGGGGATTCCCCAACAACGATGTGCCTGGCTTCACCGAGCTGTCACTTGAACTTAGGTCGTCTTGAGCTTGAGCACAAGGGTGGCTTCACCATGCGGTGCCCTTTGGGCTGAGCTGAAGTGCCTGCTCCTGCTTTGTATAGAAGAGCTCAGGCATATTTTATCATACCTTGCCGCCCATTGAGAACTAAAGTGAACTGATGCGCTCCACAAGGGAAGTGTCTTTTCTATCGCCCCCTCCCCCTCCTGTAGTCACTCAAACTTCAGCTATCTTCAGCTTGAAGCTTAGCACTGATTCAACTCCAGCTTTTTGGAGTTAGAAAAACATAGCTGCCTAAGTAAACTTTTCCCCTCCAGATGCTATTTCATGGAGGAACACATGCGCATTTAGCAGACTCTCATCAGAGCTCTTACGCTCATTTGTAACTTTGAGGCAGTACTTTCGAGACTCAATTTTCTACTTCTCGATCCTTCAGAGGTAGCTAGCACTGCTGCACTACTGTTTCGGAAGTGTAGTTTTGCTCTCCATCATATTTAGTTGATGGTATTTCATACTAGGCTCTCGTTTTCAATATCCCTTCACAATTTTGCGCGACCCTTCGGAGCGAAATCTTAGCAAGCTTCACTAGTATAGCTATATTTGTATTCTGTTCCCTATCAATGTCGCAAGACTAGGATTTTCGCCCTGGATCTTCCGCATTGCGAACCGATAGAAATTGGGGTCATACTGAGTTCGGTTTTGTGCTGTGACCTTCAAGTAGGAATTTTGCTTGCACAAGTGTATCAGTTGCTCCGATTTGTGCAATATCTCACGGCATCCATTTCAGCAACCAGCTCGTCCCAGTAGTGTGGCGCAGAAGCAGATGATGAAACAGGGATACAACTATGGAACTGATCAGGAAAGCAATGATACGGTTAGCATTACTTTTACTACGTGTTATAACTGGTAACCATCAATCGTCTTCATGTGTTCCATGGAAATTATTGTGAGCCGTTGGTGGAGATTTCCCACCCCCTCCCTGATTCCGTTGGAGGGGAACCTCCGTCATCGACTAGCGTGACGACTCGCTCACGGACTTCGAAGGCACAGCGTATGAAGAAGATGGAACCCTGCTCTGAAAGGGAGTCAACCCCATATCCCTGAGGTGGAAAAGGCGTGTCTATGCACTTAGTTGGGAGCGCGGCAGCGTACCTCAGGACATTCATGGCTTAGGGAAAAGCGAGGGCAAGAAATATGTCAATATCTTGTGCCATCCACGCTCTATTATATGCCCATAACCCGCGTCTTTAGCTGAACTACAGTATATAGC